GGGCTCAAACCCACAAACCCTGAGATCATGACCTGAGCTGAAGTTGGACGCTTAACTGACTGAGCCACCCAGGCGCCCCGTGAAGTGCTATCTTACTGTGGTTTCAATTTGCACTTCCCTGACGGCCGGTGATGTGGGGTGACTTTCCATGTGCTTGTCGGCCATTGTGGTATCTTTGGGGAAACTACTTGAGGCCTTTAAATCGGGTTATTTGGCTTCATTACTAAGATTCTCCATACAGTCTGGGTACAAGTCCCTTATCAACACCAGATTTGCAAATAACCTCCATTCTCTGGTTTGTCTTTTCACTTACAGAAAATTTTTTTTAAGTTTATTTTTGAAGGAGAGAGACAGAGTGTGAGCAGGGCAGGGGCAGAGAGAGAGGGAGACACAGAATCTGAAGCAGCTCCAGGCTCTGAGCTGTCAGCACAGAGCCCGACGTGGGGCTTGAACTCACGGACTGAGAGATCATGACCTGAGCCAAAGTCGGACGCTTAATGGACAGAACCACCCAAGTGCCCCTCCCCCTTTTTTTCTTTGATGAAGTTTAATTTGGCTACTTTTATAGCTTGTGCAAGAAGGCTTTGGCTAACCTGAGACTGTAAAGATTTACGTTTTCTTCTTAGAGGTTTTAGTGTTAAATTTTACATCTAAGTCTGTGTCCCTTCCGAGTTAAGTGGTGTGAGTGTGTGTGTGTGTGCGTCTAAAGAATTGGCCCCCATTCCTTTGCACGTGGACATTGGGGTGCTGGCACCATTTGAGAAAAGACTGTTCCTTCCCCAGGATATCGTCTCGGCGCGCTTGTCCCAAAGCAGTCGACCCTCCTTATCGGGGTTACGTAGGTCTCTCTCACGTAGGCGTATGCCGGACTCTCAGTTCTGTTCCGTCCTACACGCGTGTGTCTTTATGCCGACACCGTGATGTTTTCATCACTGTCACTTTGCGCTAAGTCCTGAAGTCAGGCCTAATGGATTCTCCAGCTTTGTTCCTTTTCCAGGAGGTTTGGTCTCCTCCGGTTCCTTACATTTCCATATGGATTTTAGGATTGGCTTTTTACTTCCTGCAGAGGAAAGCCCGCTGGGATTTTGTCTGGGGCTCCAGGGGCTTTGCAGATCACTTGGGAAGTGTCGGCTTTGTATCGAGCCCTCTGATTCCTGAGCGAGGGGTTCCTTTCCATTTTTTTCAGGTCTCAGGTTTCTTTCAAAAATGCTTTGTGGCTTTTAGAGGGAGAGTCTTACACTTTTTTTGTTGAATGTATTATCTTTGATGCTGTTGTAAATTGAATTTTGTCGCAATTTCGTTTTGAGTTGTTTATTGTTACAGTCTGGAAATACAGTTAATTTTGTAGCCTGTCAAGTGACTTAACTAATTTGTTCTGATGGTTTTTTAGTGGATTCCTTAGGATGTTCTGTATGCGAATTCGTGTCATCTGCAGATAAGAGGTAGGTTTCTGATGAGGCTTTTGATTTTATTTTCTCGCGTAACTGCAGTGGTTTGAACGTCCACCACTGGGTTGATCAGGAGAGGCGGAGCGGACATCTTTGTCTCGGTCCTGATGGTCAGAGAAAGGCGATCAGTCCTTCTTACTGAAGCGTGAGAAGAGCCCTGGGCATTTTGTAGATGTCTCTCACCAGGTGGGGTGGGGAGTTCCCTCCTGTTCCCACTTTGTGGAGAATCTCACAAAGCATGCGGGATTTGGTCCAATGCTTTCCCTGCACACGTGGACACAATCGCGTGTGTCTCTCCTTTATTCTCCTGGCGTGGCGTCGAACGCCAAGTGACTTCCAGGTGTTGGCCTGGCCTTAAAGTCCGGGGGCATGTGTCCCTCGTCACCATGTGTAGTCTTTCCTGTGTGTTGCTGGATCCCGTCCGCCCAAACTTACCAAGGATTTTTGCATCTGTGTTCGCCAGGGATGCAGGTCTGGTTTTCCTTTCTCAAGGTGTCTTTGGTTTTGCATTTGAGGTCCTGCTGGCTTTAAGGGACACCCTGCTCCTGTGTTTTGGAAGACTTTGTGGACAATTGGAATTTTTCTTTAAATGTTTGTTAGAATTCACAATCGAAGCCCTGTGGCTTTTCTTTGTGGGCAGTTTTTTAATTTTTTTTTTAAACATTTCTATTTGAGAGACAGAGAGATAGAGCATGAGTGGCGGAGGGGCAGAGAGAAAGGGCGACACAGAATCTGAAGCAGCTCCAGGCTCTGAGCTGTCAGCACAGAGCCTGACACGGGGCTGGAACCCATGAACCATGAGATCATGACCTGAACTGAAGTCGGACGCTTCACCGACTGAGCCCCCAGGCGCCGCAGAATCGTTGTTTCTTAGGCTCAGTGGTAATGCCTCCTCTTTGATTCCTCATTGTAGTAATTTGTGTGTTCTCTCTCTCTTCTTTTTAATGTTTTATTTTTGAGAGAGAGACAGAGATAGCGTGAACAGGGGAGGGTCAGAGAGAGAGGGAGATACAGAATCTGAAGCAGCTCCAGGCTCTGAGCTGTCAGCACAGAGCCTGATGCTGGGCTCGAACCCATGAACCGTAATATCATGACCTGAGCCGAAGTCGGACGCCTAACTGACTGAGCGCCCCAGGCTCCGTGTGTGTTCTCGCTTTTTGATCGGCTCAATCAGGCTACAAGTTTGTCAGTTTCGTCAGTCTTTCTAGAGAACTGGCATTCTGTTGGTTTTCTCTGTTCTCCTCTTTTCTGTTCCAGTGATGTTCACGCCATCATCACGTTCTTCCATCTGCTTGCATCTGGTTGAGTTTGTGCTGATTCTTCTCTGTTGTCAGGTGGTACCTGTTGGGGTTGGGGGGCTCGGGCTCAGGAGCTGCCTCTCTGCAGCCCCAGGAGCTCCAGGCTGTCCATCCCTCAGCAGGGACGGGAGCACAGGCTCGCACCTTGGGGGAGGGTTCCGGAAAAGACGGTCCCTGCCCCCCAGGCAGGTGCTTGGAAGGCCCCGTCCCAGCTTTCCCCTCCCACGTGGAAGCACCGGGTTCTTTCATCAAGAGGTCAGGTTCCACTGCTTATCAGCAAACTTGAGCAACTGTCCTCAGAGTCCAGCGTCCGGGATGGCGGTCAGCTGACATGTGCAGGCGTCCCGGAGGCTCACAGCGCTCAGCGCGGGTCCGTGCCCAGGGCTCTCTTGCCGTCCCTCCGGATTGGTGCTGGCAGGTGCCTCCCGTCCGCCCCGGCCGATCAGGGCGCTGTGAGAAAGGAGTAGTCCCCTGTGATCGGTCAAGGGGGCTGGGCCGCAGGGCCCCCGCCTGACATGTGGGAAGCCAGACACATGTTTGTCAGGAGAGGCCAGGGCACCAGAGCCTGTTCAGAGGCTCCCTGGCAGAGGTCCCGCGTGCGGGAGGGCTGCCTGTGCGGCCTGAGTGGACCGGCCAGTGCTGGTCGGACTCCAGAGGGAGGCTCTGTGGACCACGGGGGTGGTGGCCCTCGGGGATGGGCCTGGTCGTCCTGCGAGGGCGAGTCGGCCCCTTGCAGTCGGCCGCCTCCTGACCGTCTCTCTGGGGAAGGTGGCTGTGAGCTCTCGTGCGGTGACTCTGTCTTGCGGGCCCTTCCGAGTCCGGCTGCGTGTCCCCGGCCTGTCGCACGACTGCTGTGGGCAGATGGGTGGGCAGAGGCGACTCGGTGTCTGCCTCCTGCAGGCTGATACGCGGCGATGGCGCCCCCGTTGGAAGGCAGTGCTGACGCCCTGTTCCCGGACCTGCCCCGGGGGCCCCTGCAGGCCTACCGCGCCCGGGCCTCCTTCTGCTGGAAGGAGCTGGCGCTGTTCCTGGAGGGAGAGGACACGCTGCGCCTGAAGGTGAGGCTTCGGGCGGCACGCCGGGTGCCTGGCCCGCGGGCATGGGTGGGCCACGGGGTCCCCGGAGACCCCTAAAGACCCCAGCTAGGCCCCAGTCTGGCCTGTGTCCCGCGAGCCCCCGGGCGAGCCATTCCAGCCCTGGCAGGGGCACAAGTGGGTGAAGCCCCTGAGGCCTTGGTCCCCTGCCTGCGACTGGAGGGCCTGCCTCTGGCCCCGGGTTTCCGGGCCGGTCCGTGTCCCGCGGCACCAGCAGCCCCGAGAGGAGCTGGAGCCACGGCGCAGGGGGCGTCCGTCCTCCGCCTCCAGGTGGCCCAGTCCCCGTCTTGCATTTCCAGAAGACCATCTTCTCGGCTCTGGAGAACGACCCCCTGTTCGCCCTCCCCCGCGGGGGCCGTCTCTCCCTGGAGAAGTACCGAGAGCTGAACTTCCGACGCTGCAAGTGGATCCTGGAGCGCAGCCTGGTCCGCGTGGAGGACATGGTGCAGAGCCCTCTGTCCACCCTGACGCTGATCACCTGCCTGGGCACGTAAGACTGGTCGCTGGCCGTGAAGGTCTTGCTGCACTTGCTGGTGAGTGGGCAGCGCTGAGCCCGAGGGGGCCGTGCCCTTCCTGTGTCACGTGAGGGCGGAGGCCAGCGTGCCCGAGCTGGGCGGGAGGAAGAGGTGCAGGAAAGGAGGTCCTCGTCCCCGTGAAGGAGGCAGAGCGCTGAGACGCAGACACCGCCCACGGGTGCAGGGGTTTGCTCGCCCGTTGGGCTTCGCATGTGCGTTTGGGAAGCATTTCTTTTAAGAGACCTTCTTGGGGCTTGAACTCACGATGGTGAGACGAAGAGCCGTGTGCTGGACTGACCGAGCCAGCCAGGCGTTCCTCTTTTAAGAGGTTGCTGAAAAATAACATAGGAGGGGCACCTGGGGGGCTCAGTGAAGCGTCCGACTTTGGCTCAGGTCAGGATCTCACAGTTCGTGGGTTCGAGCCCCACATTGGGCTCTGTGCTGACAGCTCGGAGCCTGGAGCTTGTTTCGGATTCTCTGTCTCCCTCTGTCTCTATCTGCCCCTCCCCTGCTTGTGCTCTGTCTCTCTGTCTCTGAAAAGTAAACTTTAAAAAATAATAAATAATACAGGACACAAAAACAAAGATTAGAACGTGTAGGCAGATCTTGTGACATTTGAGGGGAAAGTCCAGCTTTTTCAGCTGTGTGAGCAAATTTGCACACGTGAGTCCTCGACGAGAGTACCATGCATGCGAAAACCCCAGAAGAGGGGGAGCGTTGGGGGACTTTTTTGCTTTATGCCAAAAAAACTTAGTGTTCCCGCTGCCGGCACACAGGCAGAGGTGGGGGGATGTGTGCGGCCAGGGGGCGGGGGATGTGTGGCCGGTGGCACCCTCGTTCCCTCCCCTGCCTGGCCCCTCGGGACCCCATGCAGACATCCCAAGTGTGCAGAGCTTCTGCCGAGCTCACTGGATGCGAACTCCCCCTCCCTCCACTTCCCCACCACGGGTGTCAAAGGGCACGTCGCTCCCGAGGCCCCAAGACCCCAGGACTCGTTAACCTGCTTATCCAAGGACTTAATATTTTCAGATTTTTGGGTTCGCGATTTACAACTCTGGTTCCGAAAGACATTTAGAATACCTTCCCAAGATCTTCAACATGGAGGTGAGTTCAGAGTCCTGGTGGGTCGTGAGCCCGCGGTCCCCGGATGTCTGCCAAGGGCTGCGTGCAGGAGGGGTCCCGGGGGGCCGTGCCTGGCTCTGCGCCGCTCTGGCGAGGCCGCCGCCTCCGCTAACCCGCCGTCCTCACGGGCTGGGGGACGCAGTGTTCCCGAGACCCTGGTGGGCTGGGGCAGCGGGGATGCAGTGCTTGGGCCTGCGGTTCCAGCCGCCGAGGAAGGGCGCTGCTGCGGGTCCTGCTGGAGCCTGTCTTGCCTGACACCGTTCTGTGCTTCCGCGTTAGATATTTGGATGTTTTGCTGTGACTGAAGTGAGTCACGGGAGCAACATCAAGGGCATCCGAACGACCGCTCACTACGACCCGGCCACTGAGGTAGGTGCCATGCCCCCGTCCCCGCGGTGTCCGTATGCTGGGAAGCCCGTCCGCGTACACGTGTGCTTCTGATGCGCACGGTGAGGCTTGTCGCCCCGGAAGGTGGAGGCCTGGGGGGGTGGGGAGAGGGTTTCTTTTTTTGTTCACCGGGCGGCCCGCCTGCGGGGTTTGCACGGCCCAGTTCGTTTACAAGGCAAACAGCGTGGAGATGCTTCCCACCCGCCCTGGTGCCTTGCTGGCTGCTGTGTCCCCGTCTGTGGCTGGGCCTGCCTCACTCACTCCTGCCCCCGCAGCTGTCCCCTCCGGCCCCGCCGCCCTCTGCGTCCCGTGGCCCGTGTGCAGACCCGTGGGGTGTTGGCGCTGCCGCCCGCCGCCCGCACGCTCCAGCATCTCTGTGAGCCCAGCCGTGCGCGGGTGCCGTTCTCGGGCTGCGGCCCCAGATGGGCTCGTGGTTCACTGGGTGGCCGGTGCTGTGGAGGGAAGCGGGGGCAGGGAGAGCATGGGCGCAGGGGTCCGTGGCCTCTGTGGCGGGCACTCCCGCCTCATGGCCCCCCTCCCATCGCTGGGTCAGCCTTGTCTGCTCCTCTGAGGACACGGCCTCTGCTGCTCTTTCCCTACCTGCATTTCAGGAGCCCTTCCGCCCCCTGTTGGAAGTGTGGTTTGCAAGAGTCTGTGTCCCGGGAAGTAAGGCCCTGTGCTTCTGTATTCGTGCTCCATTCATTCATTCATTCAACGATGTGGGCAGCAGGCGCTGTGGGCCGAGGGGCTGCGTGCCGGCAGTGCAGAGAGGCGTGAACCCGAGGGGAGCCCCCGGCGGGGTGGGGGGGGGCTGTGGTCCCGCACACCAGAGAAAGGTGGACGGAGGGCTGACTGGCGACAGCCCTCTGGGGTTTTTTATTGGCTTTTCAGCCAACAGATACCTTTTTATTTTTTTAATTTTTAAATGTTTTTTATTTCTGAGAGAGAGAGGGGGACAGAGCATGAGTGGGGGGAGGGGCAGAGAGAGAGGGAGACACAGAATCTGAAGCAGCTCCAGGTTCTGAGCTGTCAGCACAGAGCCCGACGTGGGGTTCGAACCCATGAACTCTGATATCATGACCTGAGCCAAAGTTGGACGCTTAACCGACTGAGCCCCCTGGGAGCCTGAAGCCCTGTGGCCGCTGGTCAGGCACCATTTTCAGGGATGGGGCACCTAGCAGGGAAAGGGACGGGCGAATCTCTGCTCTGGGGGATCCCTTGTGCCAGAGGGGAGACCTGGACAGATGGCAGCAGGGAGCAGTTGGTGTGCCAGGGGTCTGTGGAGACGGGGAGGGGGGCAGTGTGCCCCGTGCAGGTGTGACAGGCTGGGACTGCGGTCCCCCCCACATTTATTTAGTGGGGCGTCAGCATCTGCGAGGCAGTCATGTGGGGCACTGGGAATCCACGACCCCGTGCACACTGGTGGGCAGCACAAGGGGGACCCTGCCTGTGGGGAGAGGGGCACCCCCTGGCGTCTGCCTGCGGTGGCCTGCGGTTACACGGGAGGTGGCTGCCGTCACGCTCCGGCTTCGTCCAGCTGCCGAGCACCCCCAGCCCTGGAGTGGCTCACGGGCTCCCCGGCCCCCAGCCCTGCCCCCCCGTTCCTCGTCCACTCGTCTCCTGCCTCGCCGAGCAGCCAGCGAGCCTCCCAGCCCCTCTGGTGGCCCCCGGTTCATTCACCCTGACATTTTGAGGGTCTGCCTCGTGCTCCTCATGAAGCTCGTGGGCTGGGGGGTAGAGGGGGGGAAGAGAAACAGCGCTTCATTTGTTAGAGCCCAGGGAGGGGTCAGGGAGGAGCACACAGTTGGGGGGGGGTCCACGCAAAGGCCGCGGCAGGGAAGGCTCACCCAGAAGGCCGGTGTCACGGTGGCTGCTCCCCGGGGAAGTGTGCGTATGCTTCGTCATCTGACACCGGAGTCCCCATTTCCCACCTGCGTGTCTCCGTGAGGTCCCGACCCCCAGGGATGCTCTCTGTTGACAGCTCCCCCCCCCCACCCCCGGGCCACGCGGGAAATGGAGCCTTCACTCCGTTCTGCCCTTCCTCGGGGGCTGTGAGCAGAGAACGTTGAGTTCTGCACGTGTTTCACTTGCTAATTAGAACTTGGACCACAACTCGAACCCTTCTCGTTTCTCTCCCTCGTGCAGGAATTCATCCTCCATTCCCCGGACTTCGAGGCCGCCAAGTTCTGGGTGGGCAACATGGGCAAGACGGCCACCCACGCCGTGGTGTTTGCCCAGCTGTACACGCCCGGAGGGCACTGCCACGGCCCGCACGCCTTCGTGGTGCAGGTGAGGGGCTCTCGGTGGGCGGGGTCGCCCTCGGCAGTGAGGTGGTGGTGGCTCTGCATCCCAGCGGGGGGGTGGGGAGTGCTGCTGGCTTCCCGTGAGCCCACCGCAAGGACGAGGTGGGCACCCTGTAACGCACAGGACGGCTGCCTTCCCCCCGAGGGGCTTACCCAGGCCCCGACTGCAGGGCTCGTGGCCTTGCTCGCTTCCCGGCCCCCCTTCCTGAGGTTCTGACCCAGCACGTGTGAGGTGGCCTCCAGGTCTGACGTCAAGTCTGACTCAGGGGCCTCGATGTCCCCTGCTCCCGGGTCACACACAGGAAGCTACTGCCAAGGGGGCGCCTGGGACGATGGCCGGGCCCGGGCTGCTTGCCTCCCTGGTGAGGCCCGTCTCCCGACCGCCTGGGGCCCCTGCGGTGTCCCCGAACCTGGAGCTTGCGGAAGCCCACCCAGGGCCTCTTTGTGCTGGCGCCCCAAATCCCGACTGCGGCCCCACTCCCTGTACCCCTGACCCTGCTGGCATTCTTGTTAAGACCTTCCCGGTGAGGGGCTCTCGGGAGAGAAGAAAGTCAGCCGTATCTTTTTGTCCTAGTTGAGGTGAAATTCACGTAACACCAAGTGAACAGGTTGGGGGTGTTTGGCACGTCCCTGGTGTGGGGCGTCCACCCCCATCCCTAGTCCTAGAGCGTGTCCATCTCCAGAGGCCGCCACGCACCCCTACCCGCCCCGCGGCCCCCACAGCTGCTCACCTGCCGTCTGCCTCGGCACACTCACCTGGGCTGCACACCCCACAAGCAAGGAGCCCCCAGCGTGAGCTTTGGTGTCTCAGCCTGTGTCCTTGAGGCCACCAGTGTTCTAAGATGTGTCAGAACTTCTTTGCTTTTTAAGGCAGAATGAGCTGTCGTGTGGACGGACCACAGTCCACGGACCCGCTTGTTAATGGAAGTTCCGGGTGTTTTCACCTCCTGTCTGTCATGAAAGTCTGCTATGAACGTTCATGGGCTTGTGTCTGTCCACGCGTGTTCTCAGTGCCTGGGGGCCCACACCCCGGAGTGGACCTGCCGGGTCCTGGGGCCGCTCCGGGTTTGAGGAACTGCCGTCCAGCTTCCCATGGTTCTGCCAAGTTACATGCCCATCGGGAGCGTGTGAGGGTTCCGACTGTCTCCTATCCTCACCCACACATTTTCCTTTCTGTCTTGAATACGCACGCTGGTGGGCATGGGTTAGGATTCGTTGTGCTTTTAATGTGCATTTCCTTTTTTTTTCCCCCAGAGTGCACAGGGGAGAGGGGCAGAGGGAGAGAGAGAATCCTCAGCGCGGAGCCAGACAGGGGACTCGATCCCATGAGTCGTGGCCTGAGCTTAAATCAGGGGTCAGACATTCAGCTGACTGAGCCCCCAGGTGCCCATTGATTTCCATTTTCTTAATGACCATAATACCGAACACCTTTTCCTGTGCCAGAGGGCCGCGTGTGTATTTTCTTTGGAGCGACGTCTGTTCCAGTCCTTTGCCCCGTGGAAGTACGCCAGGACCTCCCCTGCGGGACAGCCACAGGCTGTCTGCTGGGAGCTGGCTGGCGGGGCCAGCTGGGCCGCTGTCCCGTGGGCGGTTGGGGCAGTAACTGAGTCTGCTTAGGGGAGTGGGCTTGGCTTTCTCAGGCTGGTCCCAGGCTGGCGGCAGGATGGAAAGTGGGGACACTGTCAGCCACCCGTCCGGCCCTGACCGACGGTCACGGGCTTCTTGCACGGACTCCTGCGCTGCTTGCTGCAGGCGGCGGGTCAGAGTCCCCGTCACGCGGTCAGGTAGCCGTCCATTGGTATGGTGCGTTTGGTTTCTTTTAGTCCATTTCTTTCTTTTTGTTTTAAGTGTATTTATTTTGACAGACAGAGAAGGCGAGTGTGCACACGCAGGAGAGGGGCAAAGAGAGAGAATCCCAAGGAGGCTCCACACTGTCAGTACAGAGCCCTGGGGTCGTGGGTCCCTAGCACAGAGCCCACTGGGTCCCTAGCACAGATTTGGGGGGAAAGCTCCGGGTACCTAGCACGGAGTCGGGGTGGGGAAGCTCCAGGTACCTAGCACGGAGTTGGGTGCGGGGGACGCTCTGGGTCCCTAGCATGGAGTCGGGGGGGGAACCCCGGGTCTCTAGCACAGAGTCAGAGGGGGTAGCTCTGGGTCCCTAGCACAGATTCGGGTGGAAACTCCAGGTCCCTAGCACGGAGTTGGGGCAGGGAGAAACTCTGGGTCCCTAGCACAGATCTGGGGGGGAAGCTCCAGGTCCCTAGCATGGAGTCGGAGGGGGGAAGTTCCGGGTCCCTAGCACGGAATCGGTGGGGCGGGGGAAGCTCCGGGTCCTTAGCACGGAGTCAGGGGAGAAGCTCTGTGTCCCTAGCACAGAGTTGGTGGGGGTCAGGCTCCGGGTCCCTAGCCCAGAGTTGTGAGGGGGGAAGCTCCGGGTCCCTAGCACGGAGTCGGAGGGGGGAAGCTCTGGGTCTCTAGCACGGAGTCGGTGTGGGGGGGAAGCTCCGGGTCCCTAGCACGGAGTCGGTGTGGGGGGGAAGCTCTGGGTCCCTAGCACGGAGTCAGGGGGGAAGCTCTGGGTCCCTAGCACGGAGTCGGGGCAGGGAGAAACTCTGGGTCCCTAGCACAGAGTTGGTGGGGGTCAGGCTCCGGGTCCCTAGCCCATAGTCGTGAGGGAGGAAGCTCTGGGTCCCTAGCATGGAGTCGGAGAGGGGAAGCTCTGGGTCTCTAGCACAGAGTTGATGGAGGAGGGAAGCTCCGGGTCCCTAGCACGTAGTCGGGGCAGGGAGAAACTCTGGGTCCCAAGCACGGAGTTAGTGTTGGGGGGAAATTCTGGGTCCCTAGCACAGAGTCGGGGGCGGGGAAGCTCCGGGTCCCTAGGATGGAGCCGGGGGAGGAAGCTCCAGGTCTCTAGCACGGAGTCGGTGTGGGGGGGAAGTTCCGGGTCCCTAGCAAGGAGTCGGTGGGGGAGAAACTCTGGGTCCCTAGCACGGATTTGCGGGGGAAGCTCCGGGTCCCTAGGAGGGAGCTCACACAGTGGGGAGCCGTCGGCCAGCCGCACCTGTGTTTGGGTAAGCGTGTTTGCCAGATGGCCACAGCTAATGGCAGGCAGGCTCTCCCCCGTACGTACGTCCTGCCCCGTCATGTCACTGCAGCCCGGCCCCAGCCCTGGGGCTGACCTGTATGTGACGTGGACGTTCCTGATGGTCTCCGGGCTGCAGGGACCCCTCAGCTGCTCGCCAGGCACTGCCGGGACCCAACCGCACAAACCGGGGCCCTAGAACAACAGGCATTTATGGTCCTGGAGGCAAGGAGTCTGAGATCGTGTCGCAGCCCCCTGCCCCCCCCCCCCAGGCTCCTGTTCCTGCCTCGTCCAGCCCCTGGTGGCTGCGCCTTCCTCTGCCCACGTCGTCTGCTCCTGTGTCTCTTGTAGGACACCTGTCGTTGGATTTGGGCCCAGCTGGGTATTGGGGGGCGCCCTCATTTCCAAGTCCTTCTCTTAATGACAGTTGTGAAGACCACAGATGAGGTCGTGGTTTTGAAGGACGCTGCTCACCCCCAGCAGATCCACGAAGGGGGCCCACGGCTCAGTCCCTGGGGTTTTGTGACGGATTCGTTGTGATTCTTTTTTTAAATTTTTTATTTATTTATTTATTTATTTTAATGTTTTTATTTATTTTTAGGAGAGAGAGAGAAAGACAACGTGAGCAGGGGAGGGTCAGAGAGAGAGGGAGTCACAGACTGAAACAGGCTCCAGGCTCTGAGCTGGCAGTCAGCACAGAGCCCGACACGGGGCTCGAACCCACGAACTGCGAGATCATGACCCAAGCGAAAGTCGGACGCTTAACCGACTAAGCCACCCAGGCGCCCCGGATTCGTTGTGATTCTTGTGTGGCCTTAACACTTGCTGTTGGCTGTCCTCTGTGTCATGTACAGATCCGGGACCCCAGGACCCTGCTCCCCATGCCAGGTGTGATGGTTGGCGACATTGGCGAGAAGCTCGGGCTGAATGGCGTTGACAACGGGTGCGTGTGCGCCGTGGCCTCGATGGCCACTGTGTCCTCTGCAGGGTCGCCGCCGGAGGCTCCTCGTCGGGACTCTGGTCCCTGCCAATTCCAGCATGTGAGCTCACCGGGACCTCAGTGCTGTCCCCACCCTCCTAGCCTGCGGGGACAGGGGAACACGGTGGGAACGCACACCTCACCTGTCACTTGAGAGCTGTGTCACACCCCCCCGTGTCACACACACCCTGTATCACATGCACACACTCATGGGCACCCCGTGTCACACACCCTGTGCCCCACACACCCTGTCACAATACTGTGTCACAGGCACACACCATCTCATGGACACCGTGTGTCACATATACCCTGTGACTCACCACCGTCACCCTCCCACCCGCAGCCTGGCCGCCGTCTGTTTCTGGAACAGCTTTCGTGGCCTATACGTGCTCCAACAAGACTGTGTGAGATGTGCTCTCACTTAAAGGCCAGCAAATCCTTTCACAAGTAGACATGTGTTCCCACTCACTCCAGCTCTGAGCAGCCCAAGGGGGAAGGGTTTCCATTGCTCAGAGGGGCACTGGCAGTTTACAGCTGTGCATGAAAAAGCTTTCCTCGGCTTCCAGGCAGAAGCCGGGGCCCTCTAGGGTGCTGGCGCCCAGTCTGCTCTTAAAACGTGGGTGTCTGCACTCATGGCCCGGGGGGCCTCCTTGGGCCCCCCGCGGCCTCCCCCGAGGCCAGTCGGAGCCACCCACCGAGGCCCAGACGCAGCGGCCGCTCCCGGTGGGGCCTCCCGGGCTCCCAGGCTCCCGGCCAGACCTGCCGCAGAGCCCGGCTGCAGCGGCCCTGGTTTCGTGCGCGGGACGGTGGCCCACGGAGCTTGGATGCGCCAGGGGCCCAGCGGCCGGCCGAGCGTCCCTCACCTGCCCCTGCCCTTGGTGCCTCCTAAGGAATTTGGGAGGGGGCCCGCCCTGCGCGCAGCCCCCGCCTCTGCTCTTCCCCGGGGCCCTGGCAGGTGCGCCACCTCTCTCCCGCGAGGCCGGCCTGGACGCAGAGGGTGGCCCACCGCGTGGCTCTCTGTAGGCATCCGCCCGGTGCCAGGCCTGACGGCCCCACCGTGAGAGGGTGATTCGGACCCATGGAAAGTGGCCCGGAGAAGTAGGTGGCTGAGTGAGGACGTGGATGGTGGGCAGTCACCTCAGAGCGGGGTGGGGTGTGGGGAGACCGCCGGTGCCCACTGAAGGGGGTGAGAGGGGAGTCCCGACGGGCTTCTGGAGGAGGTGGTGGGCCCTGAGGGCCGCCTGCGCAGGGCCGCGGGAGAGCCTGGCCTGGCCTGTCCAAAGGCCGCAGCAGGCAACCATCTTTCTGTGGGGCTGGGGCTTGAAGGGACTTGTGCAGGGCGCCCCCGTTCCGGTCCGTTTGGAAAGGTCTGTGCCCCAGGGCTGCAGAGCTGGCCCTGTATGGAGCCCCGCGGTGGTCGTCAGGGTGAACTGGGCCGGAGGGGGGTGCGCCAGAGGAGGATGGACGAGGGAGGAGCGGCCAGGACCTGCTTGGGCAGAGCTGGTGCCTGGCTGTGGGCGGGTGCTTGGTCCCCTCTCGGGAGCGACCGTGACTCCAGCAGGAGCCGGCATGAGCGCACAGGGGGCTCCCCGTGTCCGCCTTGGCGATGCCGTGCTTTACACTGCGGGCTCCCATGGGTGAGCCAGAGAACATTCTGGATGGTGTCGACAGTGCTCTTGGTCACCGGAGGAGTCGCCATGAGAACTCTTGATATTTCTTTTTTTTCTTTTTAATATTTTTATTTATTTCTAGGAGAGAGAGAGAGACAGCGTGAGCAGGGGAGGGTCAGAGAGAGAGGGAGATACAGATTCTGAAATAGGCTCCAGGCTCAGAGCTGGCAGACAGCACAGAGCCAGACGCGGGGCTCGAACCCACGAACCGCGAGATCATGACCTGAGCGAAAGTCGGACGCTTAACCAACTAAGCCACCCAGGCGCCCCAAGAACCCTTGATATTTCTAAGATGGTTTTGGGGTTTTGCTCAGTTTGCAGAACATCCCGTCCTTTGCCTGACTGTGTCCGTTGGACTGTCGTGGATCAGGCTCTCCCTACCTGACGGCCATGAAAAGTAGCTTCAAGTTCTGACCCCTAAGTGTATGTGATGACGTGTGAGTGAGTCGGCTCTTCTGAGCTCTTCAGAAGAAATGGATTTGTTTACCTGGGGATTACTGATTCGGCGACGCTGTTCTTTTGTTTGACATGAGTTTTCAAAACCTCAGTCTGTTGATTTTTCACATCGTATTGTGGATTCTGGTATGAGATTGAAGGGTGAGAACCTTAAAAAAATCCGTTCTCTCCTTTTTTGTTGACTAACCAGCTTCTTCCCAGTGGGGTCAGGAACCTGGCTCGTGATTCCCAATACATGGCCGTGTGTTTCCACACAGAGCCCCGCCTCACGCACACCACGTTTTTTTATTTAACCTTTTTTTTTTTTTAATTTTCTTTTCATGTTTATTTACTTTTGAGACAGAAACAATGAGAGCAGTGGGGGGGGCAGAGAGAGAGGGAGACACAGAATCCGAAGCAGGCTCCAGGCTCTGAGCTGTCAGCACAGAGCCCGACGCGGGGCTCGAACAGTGAACCACGAGATCACGACCTGAGCCGACGTCTGATGCTTAACCGACTGAGCCCCCTAGGCACCCTTATTTGACCTTTTAAGCTAGAACACTCTGTTGGAATTTCTTACCTCTGCTATCTTCTACCGTTTCCGTTTTCTTTGGAGGATTGGCACCCGTTTGGCTTCTCTTTGCTCTTATTCGGCTGGGTTTCCGGAGGGAGAGGAGACCGGCACCTGGGCCAGAGCCCTGTGTAGCCACAAGTCCTGCCGTGTCTCCACACAGATTTGCCATGTTCCACAAGGTGAGGATTCCTCGCCAGGCCCTCCTGAACCGGACTGGAAACGTCACCCCTGAGGGTACCTACGTCACCCGCATCAAGGTACAGGTGTCTCCAGGCGGGGAGGCTTGAGGGTGGAAAGCCCTCGGCTGCACAGGATGCTCGCTGGGCTTGCACGGACGCCCGCCCCAGCCGGGCTGGCCCGGGCTGAACCCTTGGGTCACGTTCCAGTGCCACTGACAAGGAGGGTGGCACTTGGGCCCCTGCACCCCGGGGTCCTGGGCCTGATGACAGACGCCCCCACCCCCAGCCTCCCAGGGTGGGTTAGGGAGGCTGCCCCCTGCTGGTGCTGTTTCTCCCAAAGGGTTTAAGGGTGTAGCCGTGTGGTGGCCGTCCCCGACGGGGGTGGTAGTGTTCTCTGGCATCCGGGGCACACCGCATCCCGACATCCTCTGAGCAGTAGCACACGATGGCCAGGGGCCACGTTGGAGCAGCCAGCCGCCTCCCAGGTCCTGAACCCACGTGTGCCCCTTGGCAGAGGACTCTGTCTAACGACACGCACCACGTGACTAGAGTCAGGATGGCAGGACAGGAAGCGAGTGTGGCAGGGGCGCCGGAGACGGGATGGAAGTCAACAGCGTGAAACCAGAGTGTCTTAAAAACAGAAAGAGCGACCTCGACTATTCGTTAGTCGGTGACAGGACAGTGAGGGAATGGAAGGCACATGACGGACAGACAGAGCCAGACGGGTCAGAGGCCTGGAAGCCCGTGGAAGGGGTCCTCAGAGGACGCAGGAGGGGCTGAAGCAGAGCGAGAGGGGGCGGCGTGGGAGCAGCAAGCGTGGGGAGTGTCTGAGGAAGGGAAGACGACCCCACCGAGGGCCCACGTGGTGCCAGGGACGCCCCGCGGGAGCGCACGCAGCACACATGCGGCGGAGGCTTTAGGGCGTCTCCCGGAGGAGTGTCCAGGATCTTCCAGAAAGAGTGTGCCGCTCTGACTCCAACGGAGCGAAGCTCCCTGAGCCTCCCGCTTCTCGCAGCTGCACGCAGTGTGTGAGGAGGAGGCGGCGGGGTAACCCCACAAACCGCCCTTCGTGTCTGGGGCATCAGGAATGCCCTCCACACGCGCAGGCCCACCGCAGGGCCGCGCCAATTCCACGGTGGGTATCGCTGCAGAAGAAAAGTCAGAATGGAAGAAATGAAGCCAGGAGAGGCAGCAAGGGGTGAGGGAGGCCGGGGTGCCCGGAGGACTGAACACTGGTGGCGGGAGGTGCCCCCAGCGTCGCCACTGTGGACCCTTCTGCCCGGGGCCCCGAGACCTGTGGCAGAATGACACGGATGCACACGAGGCCACAGTGAAAGAACACGACCGATGACCAGCAGGGAGGTCGTCTTCCACGGGGAGAGAGGAATGTGGGGGACCAGGGGTCATGGGAACGGGACGCTGGCACCAAGTGGCAGCACCTCAGCCCGGGGTCCCCACTTCGTGCCCGGCGTGGCTAAGCCTCGGGGACTCCGGGTGGCTGGGAATGGCACCCTGTGGGCCACCGTTCCCTCCGCCTGCAGCCGAGTGTCCCCGCTGGGGGCCTCACAACACCCACGCCTCTGCAGCCCAGCCCTCCTGGCGGTCCCGGCCCGGGGGTGCATGGTGGGGGACCCCTGGGGACGCCGGGTATTGTGCTCACCCTCAGCGCGTGTCCTTTCCCTGTAGGACACCAGGCAGCGCTTCGGAGAGTCCCTGAGCAACCTGTCGTTGGGCCGGGCCACCATCGTGGCCATGTCCATCGTGAACTTAAAGCTGGCCGTTTCCATAGCCCTTCGTTTCTCAGCCACGCGGTGTCAGTTTGGGCCCCCGGGTGAGGCTGAGATTCCGGTGCTCGAGTATCAGCTACAGGTATGGCCGTGGCAGTGCCCCTGCCTCTCCCTCCCATTCGGGCGCGCCAGCCGGGCAGGCGGCTTCTCGAACGTGCGTTTTCAGCTGGGGGAGTGTGCACAGGAGCCAGTTAGGCCCCCGGCAAGAGCGTGAGTCTCTCGCTGGTTTATCGCGCAAGCCCTGCGGCTCTGGCGGTGGCTGGACTTGTTCTGGGCCCGCGCTCTCTGACCTCTTCACCGCCTCCCTCAGCAGAGACCCCATGGGGATGATCCGCCGCACACCCGGGGCTTGGGCCGCTTGTTGTGACGTCATTGAGAGGAACAGGAGGGACACTGGTCCTGCCGGCCCTTGGAGAAGAGGCGGCCCGGACAGCAGAGGGGGAACCTTGGCCACACACCGATGGCCGCTTAGCTTCTGGCAAAGGGAGACCAGACCAGCTTTACCCTGGGGAACACTCGCAGTGCTTGTGGGGTCCCAGCCCCTCCTCCCAAGCCTGGCCTCCGCGCCTCCTCACGCGCTTAGCCTTCACGCCTCCTCACACACTTAGCCTTCACGCCTCCTCACACACTTAGCCTTCACCGGGTCGGGCGGAGTTGCGGTTCCCAGTCACAGGTGGGGGCATCAAGGGTCTAATAGGCGGCTCCCGTCCAAGTTCAGCAGCAAGTCTGGCCCCCTCTCGGGCCGAGCGCTGTGTAGGCACAGGTGTGTTTGACTGAGAGCCTGAAGGGAGCCTGAGGGGATCTCGGGTTCTTTGAACACCTCCCGCCAGGCCGCGCGCCTGCTGTAATGACCAGTAAATGAGGAGAAGCCAGCGGTTCGGTCACGACTGTGGCACACATCGTTCCTTCGCCTGCGCGTCCGGGGCCTTTGTGAGGTTGGCGCACCTGACTGGTCATCACGGGCAGCCTGGCGGTCAGAGAGCCCACTCGGGCCCCTGTGCTCGGGCCCCTGATCCAGCGCCATCCTGCTGGCTGTGTGGCCTCGGGCAGGGCCCCTTGTGGCACCTGTCTGTGGTCTGGTTTTCTCATGGGCCACAACCAATAACACCTCTTTGTGGGGAGACTGAGGATTAGATATGTTAGTCCACGGGGAGCAGCGGGCAGGATGTGTGGCGCCCTGCGCTCAGTACGTGATAGGCGGTGGTGGTGACAGTTGGCGGGGTCCTTTCCTGCTTTCTCCTCCACCCCCTTCTGTCCGTGCGGTGCTGAGTGTGCAGACACCCCCTCCCTGCGTGGGCGGGACTCCTGGCTCCCTGTGGGCCTCGCTCCCCATGTGGCTGCGGGGTGATCACTTGATCCCTGGTGGGAACACAGCACAAGCGATCACCTGTCTGGCCAGGTGCCAGCACAGCTGGCGGCCGTCCCCGGTCCCGGGTCGGCTGATATTCACCGTCCCTGGGGTCCCTTTGGTGAGACCGGTGAGCGTTGTGCACAGAACGCTTTTGAGCGAGACTGGGCTGGGTTCTCTGTGGGGGGTGGGTTCTCTGAGGAGGAGCTGGTTCTCTGCCAGGGGACGTCTGCCAGGGTGGTGGGTTCGGGAGGGGAGGAGGAGGGTGTTGTCTGCGAGTGGGGGGTGGGTTCCCTGGGAGGGCTGTGCTGTGTTAACGTGAGTGTCTCATTGATTTTAGCAATGGCGCTTGCTTCCCTATCTGGCGACAGTGTTTGCCTTAGACCACTTTTCCAAGTGGCTCTTCCTGAACATGGTGGAGTTTCAGCAAGGCTGCATGGGGACGGACCGAAGCCCCAGGCAGGTGAGAGGTGATTCTCATGTCTCCGTGCCTTTGAACATTGTTAGCTGTCACTGAGGTTGAAGGGCACAGATTTAGCCCGTCTTCCCAAACAGCATCTATCCGTCCACGGCAGCCTTATGGGGCGAACGTGACGCGTGTCCTTAGCCATGCACCACCCCCCCCACCCCAACTCAGGACTCTCAGGATCGGCGCTGTGATACGGCCCCCTTGGGTGTGCGTCCGCATTCCCGCTCCTCATGGGTGTGCTCCCGTGACTCCTAATTCCCGTCCGTGAGCTCAGCTGGCCTAATGTTCTCGAAAACATGATGATTTTTCAAAACCCACATCGCTGGCCCCGCCATAGATTTCATGGTTCTGAGCCTTTCGTAAACAATCCTGAAAAGGCCCAGATCTCTCAGGCCGGATTTGAATCGACAGTCAAGTATTTATGTCAGATTTGAGCGTCCACGGAGCTCAGGTGCTACGTAAAGTCATCCTTGGCTGAATTCTGTGTAAACCGTTTACGGCGGGCTTTCTGTAGTCCCCTATGTTGCCTCCTGGGCACAAGTAAAAACGTAAATCATGAGAAATGGGTTTGAAAACAGGTTAGAAGTCCTGCAGATGGGCGTTACATCAACACCCTCAAAAGCCTGTATCAGATTAACATGTTTCAGAATCCTCAGCGGCGTAAACATCCCGGAGCCAGCAGGCGGTGGGTGGGGTGGGGGCCGCCGGCAGGGCGCGCTGCGGGGCCGAGCACAGGCCCCGGGGTGCCGGGACGGAACATGTCCCCCCCGCCGCCCCCCCTGCCCCCAGCATGAGTCACGGAGGCTCCTGCCAGCCAACGTTGGACTCGCTGTCCTGTTCATGACGTTATAAACAGCAGTCATGCTTTGTTCTTTCTGAAACCCAGTGGCTCAGCCGGAGCCCAGCAGGGCCTGGGAGTGGCCCTGGGCTCAAGCTGAAAACACTGGAAAAACGGACCATCTTATCTTGCAGGGGGTGTATTCGTCCCTCTTGTTTCTGTTAAATGTTAGGGGGAAGCAAAGGAAATTTGCCCTGAGACGCTGGCCCGGGACACCCTCACAGAGATGACTGTGAACCGCCGTCACCTGCGTGGTCTCCTGGGCCCCGGGCCCCCCGCCCGGCTCTATCCTTAGAGGGGAGCACCCTCTCCCCACCTCGCATTTGGATCTTGCTTTTTTTTCCTCACACAGCATACCGCTCCATTTCGGGTTCACGAGCTTCATGGAGAGCGAGTTGCTTCTTGCTTCACGGACTCGTCGCTTGTGTGCTTTGCGTCTGTGATTGTCCTTAGGCCCCCTGCGGTCAGTCGCCACACAGGGCTCTGGTCTGTCGGTCGCCGTGAAGCTCTCTGTACCACGGCGTCTCCACTCTGAGGCGAATCCCCCCCATTCAAGCTAAAATTGTTTTCCCCCCTTTCTCCTGCAGTTGCTGGGTGTCTTGGATTAGGCTACAGGGGACATGAGCCCTCGACACTAGGGGTGACCTGACCTCTGACCTCTGGTGTCAGAGCCTCTTTTCATCTCTTCGTGTTGGATTTCCCCTCCTAAGGTAGAGCTTGGACGTGAGATCCACGCCTTGGTGTCGGCCGCCAAGCCCCTGGCCTCGTGGATGGTGCAGCGGGGAATTCAGGAGTGCCGGGAGGCGTGCGGAGGACACGGCTATCTGGCGGGTAGGTTTTGGAGAAGCGTGTGACGGTTTCCTGTCTGCAGGCCCTACTTTTGACTCGAGGGGTCCGCAGACTACAGCCAGGGGCCCAAAGTCAGCTACCACCAGTTTTTGCAAATAAAGTTTTATTGGAATGTGGCCATGCCCGTTCGTCCGTGGATTTTCTGTTGCCGCATTCGCACGATGAACAGAGATGAGAATCTTGTGTCGAGCCTGAAATCTTCACCGTCTGGCCTTTCCCAGAGCAGGCTTGCCACCCCCCTGCCCTAGACCGACCCCTCCGCTCTCTGATGACCCCACGTGTCCATCTAGAGATAATGAACTGGGGAGAGACAAGGTGAAGGAGCCAGCAACCAGAGCGGAAAGTACACGACCCCTTCACGGGCTCGTAACTTTCTGGTGAATGACGGCATTAAAATAGCCCTGAGTTTTGTTCTGGTGAAAAAATTCACACACTTAGTAAAAGAGAGTTTTTCTTGGCGTCGGCTGTCATTTGGGCAGCTGGCGTGCGGCAAAGAGAGCCAGCGGCCCGCAGCCTGTGCGCAGCTCCTGCTCTGCCCCTCACGAGCTGTGGCCGGGCCAGCTGGCTAACCTCGCCGGGCCTCAGTCTCCTGGTCTATAAACCGGGCTGACAGTAGTACCGCGACACAGGCGCGTGCGATGCTGACGTGAGTTACTATGGGTAAAGTGGTCAGCACGGCGTTGGCCTATGGCACATGGCTGCGGGCTTTTACCTGTTGTCACTGTTGGAACTTTTAGTATTCGCACAGGTGCCATTATCGTGGGCACACGTCCTGTGTGTCACTCTGCAGTAATTAAAAAAAAAATTGTTTAATATTTACCCATTTTTTTGAGGGAGAGAGAGAGGCAGAGGAGGAGCAGGGAGGGGCAGAGAGGGAGGCACAGAATCCGAAGCAGCTCCAGGCTCTGAGCTGTCAGCACAGAGCCCGATGTAGGGCTCAAGCCCACGAACTGCAAGATCATGACCCGAGCCAAAGTCGGATGCTTAACCAACTGAGCCACCCGGGCGCCCCCAACTCTGCGATAACAGACAGGTAAAATCTAGGTGCCCCCAGAAGGCCACGCACGCCTCCCAGCAACAGAACCACAGCAGCCTCGTTTCAGCGGGTATCCCTAGAAGTGTCATGGGCTCTGCCAGGTTTGAGCATCTCAGTGACGGGTCGTGGATAATCACGTGCTCTCAGTGAGGCTCTGTCCTGTTCCTTGTCATGCGAGCGGCCCGCAGCCATCCCTCAGCTCCCTCTGCCTCCCCGCTACCTGCTGACAAACCGGTGACCGTGGCTGGGCCTGCGTTGCTCACCTGACTTGTCTGTGCAGTGTCCTGTGGTCTCCGTCTGTTGTTACGCCTTCTGCAACCGTTGTTAACAGCTGGCCGTTTGGGGCCGTTAGTAGGCTAACGAAGTTGAACGTGTAGCAGTGCAGACAAGGAGAAATACCTGCGTGAGGCGTCGTGAGCACAAACGCCGGGCCGGAACCCGCACGACCTAGCTCAGCGGGGTGGATGTCACGGGCCCTGTCTGGGTTCAATGTCAATTACAAGTTGTTTCTCTGTGGCCTCGCCCAGCTCTTTCTGAGGGGCGTGTCACTATGGCACCGGGCACCGAGTCAGGGGAAAATGATCAGAGTGGCACAGGTGACCACAAGCCCGGCAGAAGCTCTCACACCCTCTCTGGCTCTGTTCCCAGCAGCGCGTGAGCCTGGGAGTCCCCCTGCTTTTCCCTCCAGGCCTGGCCTGGTGTGGAGAACATTCTCAATCAGAGGGTGGAGACCCAGACGGGAGGGTCTAGAAAGCATACCTTATAAAACCGGCAGGGGGATGAAGTCCTGTAACTGGCAGGAGAGACAGCAAAACAAGGTGGAGGTTTGTCTTCAGATACCTGACATCTCTGGACTAAAAAGATGGTTCCCCCCTGGGTGGGCGGCTCTCCCGGGGGCCCCGTGTCTGTCAGCGACCCCCGAGAGGCCCGAGGTCAGCAGGGGAGCCGGCAACGCCAGGCCTTTCTCGAGCGCCGCGCCGTGGGCGTCAGGGCCCTGAGTGCGCGGCAAGCGTGGCTCCTGAAAGACGGAGCGGCCAGGTGGGGAGGCCTCAGCCGGGAGGAGCTGGGCCTGGGCGGCCTCCCAGTGCTGCGTCTCTGTCGGGCCCGCTGGGACGCTCGGGTTCCCGGGGTGGGGGCGGCGGGAGCCCTGCCTCACGAGCCCAGGACGTGAGGAAGCACGTGGCTTCGTTGCAGTGAACCGCCTGGGCGACCTCAGGAACGACAACGACCCCAGCTGCACCTACGAAGGGGACAACAACGTCCTGCTGCAGCAGACCAGCAGCTACCTGCTCAGCCTGCTGGAGGACCGCCGCCAGGGTGAGGCCCCGCCCCCGGTGAGGCCCTGCCCCCACCCCGTGAGGCCCCGCCCCTGCCCCGTGAGGTCCCGCCCCAGGGTGAGGCCCCGCCCCCGGTGAGGCCCTGCCCCCACCCCGTGAGGTCCCGCCCCCGGGTGAGGCCCCGCCCCTGCCCCGTGAGGTCCCGCCCCAGGGTGAGGCCACGCCCCCGGTGAGGCCCTGCCCCCCCCCCCGTGTGGACCGCCCCCCGGGGAGGCCCCCCCCCCCGCCCCCTAGGGCCCCCCCC